TATATATATATATCATTAATGTAAATAGAATATAAATGGAAAACCGAGTGGGCCGAGGATAGAACCCTGAGGTATAAGTTTGGAAACATGAAGAAAAGGAGAATAATCAGAGTATATTCAGCTGCTGCACTCTGTCTGACATTAAAAAGTGGTTAGTTATCACAAGGTTCACAAGACATTTAATCAAAATGGGATGGTTAACTGAATCAAAGGCTTTGGGCACAGTCCTGTTGGGAATCCAGAGCAGAGGCTACATCATCCAGAAGTTTTAAAACTGCTGTGACACGTCCATGACCAGAACAGAAGCCAGACTGTGCAGGAGATAGTATGTTAGCTGCTTAAAGTTTTAAAAAAGAAAGGCCCTAAACCATCTGTTTCAGCTCTTTGACTTCTTTTAAACTTGTGGTTTTCAGATTAAAACTCTGAGATGCATCAGGTAAATCAAATGCAGGTAAATCAGATGAGGCATTGAGTGCAAGTTTAGTATCAGTGCTTGTGAAAATGTCAGAATGTCCAATGACACTGAGTGGAAGAAGACAGAAATGTCTATGACTGGATGGACAAACTGAAGAAGAAGAGGAAGGTAAGAAAYGTCTGATTGAAAACCCCTCCAAACCAGATAAAGCACATTAATGATGGCTTATTAACTAGCTCAGCTGTCCATCTTTAAACCTCTCATTCTGATAAAAACACTGATTATTACATTTATTATTATTATTACATTTGTCAATCACAAACTATGGTCAAGAGCTTCTGTGAAGAGCTTCCGAAAACGAGCGGAGAACTCACCAGTGGGCCAGGTGGTCCTACAAGGCCTTTGAGACCATTATCACCTACAGGTCCTCTCAGTCCACATGAACCTGAAGGACAGGACTGAACCTTATTCTCACATTAAACCAATGAGCTTTAGTTTCTGACAATCAGATGCTCAGATGATGAATGTAAAAAAAAACTGGTGTAATGTGCTTCTTACCAGGTTCACCATGGTCACCAGGAACCCCGGGTTCACCTGGAGGTCCAGGTTGGCCAGAAATAAATCTGCAGTTTCTACATATCTCCCCTTTGTGACCTTCAAAACCAACAAGAAGTCATCAATAAGGACAAACAGGACCTGCGGAGGTGTAGCCCCGCCTCCCTGGTGACAGCAGGTGTAGCCCCGCCTCCCTGGAGACAGCAGGTGTAGTCCCGCTTCCCTGGAGACAGGAACCTGCTCCAGGTGACCCCACAGCAGGTTAGCCACAGCACCCCACCCCTACACTTACCCTTCAGACCACTGTCCCCTCTCGGTCCAGGAGGTCCTGTCAGACCTTTTGAACCTTTAGCTCCTAGAGGACCAACTCCTCCTTCCACAAAGTCTGAAGAAGAAAATGGAGATATTCAGGTGTTGGAAGGAGGACTTTAGTTTTCAATAAATCAACTCTTTCTGGTGAAACTGAAGAACTTTACYTGGTATTCCTGGTTCTCCGGGTTCTCCTTCAACTCCACCAACACCTGGAACCCCAGTTCGTCCTGGAGGCCCTGTAATCAAGGGTCCAGGTTCTCCTGGCTCTCCTCTGGGACCAGAAGAACCAGGTGGTCCCTGGGAACCGGGTAGACCACTGGGAGCCACACCTGGAGGGGTTTAAATCATAAAAAGTCACGTTATAGAAGGCTGGGTCTAAGAACTGGGACAATAATAACAGATATTTGATGATTAATGTGAAAACTTATGAATCAAACGTTTCTAAATATGTGAGTTTTTTCCTGATCTGTCTCATTTAATGAGACATGAAGTCCCAGCTGTTTACCTTGTTCACCCTTCAGTCCTGGAAAACCAATGATTCCTGCAACAGATGGCACAAGATTTTATTTTGAAGTATCAGGTCACACGATTCCTCAGCTGGATTCTTTGATTATCACTAAGTTTTTCTTTATTTTTTTTCTTTATTTGATGTTCATATTTTATCTGTTTGAGATGACTCTCAGTTACTACCATAACTAATTGTAGCTCAATATCTGTGAAACCTCTAACATGTTTGTGTGGCTACAGGTGATTAGCTGTGGTGGCCATCTTGAACCAGGCGGATTATAAAGGTTAATCAAATGATGAACAGACAGGATTATTTCTGAGAGTTTTAGAGGAACCAGTGGGTGGTTCTTAACAGATGTTTTAAATAAAAGGTTTGATGTTGATGGAGCGAAATGAGAAAAAAAAGATTTGTGGTTTTGTACCTTGCTCTCCAGGGACACCTGGGGGTCCAACAGGTCCTGGGACCCCTCGCTGGCCTTTCATAAATATGTTAATGGGGACGACCTGATCCAAAACAAAATAATACTTTTTTAATTTGAAAGTGTTGTTTATAGATTAGCCCCGCCCCCAACAAAGACATAAGTAAACAGCTTTCATTTGTTTGTTCAATAATCCAGCTTTTATTTTGGCGGTACTGGTAACACTTGTTGTCACTTTACTCAGTAAAAGACTGACCTCTCCTGGAGGACCTGGAGGACCTTGTCTGCCTTTTTCTCCCTGGATGATGAAAAATAAAAAAGGTTAAATAAAAAAGATAAAACATGGCAGAGTGAAGCTGCAGTACCACATCCTGATCCAAGATCTACGTAGTACTCACCAAAGTACCAACAATACCTTCAGGGCCGAGGTTTCCAGGATCCCCAGGGTCTCCCTGCACAAACAGACCTGTTACACCAGATTCTCTAAACCAGTCCAGTAAAAGTTATGGTAAAAATATGTCTTTAGGAATCATTTCTAAACAAAGATATTGTCATAAATCCTGTCATAACCCACAGATGTCTCAGGCTCCTGACCCCAGCTTTAGGCCCCACCGTTCTACTGGGTCAAATCCAGAGTCATTAAAACCATAAACACAGTAAACAATAAAACGAGGCCCACATTGAGGCTGGTTGGACTCAGACATCCTACTAAAACAACAAAAACGATAGAAAGTTTTAAAAAGAGAGGAGGTCACAGGACGTCTTCTACACAACCCAGGACTAATCCAAACTTGTGTAGACATGTGACAGTGCAGGTGAAGTATACTAGCAGGACTTTATAGTAGTGGTACCTTCTCTCCGATCTCTCCCTCTAGTCCTTTCTTCCCTGGTTTACCCTACAACACAAACAAAGCCATCACACCAGTTCTTCTGGGATCAAATCTGTGTATTACAAATTTGCTCTTCCACATATTGTCTCTCACCAGTGAACCATAATCTCCTCTGTCACCCTTCTCTCCTTTAAACCCTGGGGTCCCCGACACACCCTGGAGATAAAAACCAGCACAGACGTCTGACAACGTGACATCCAACAGCTTTTACTTCTGGAGGACATTTTGACTTACAGAAGCTCCACGGCAACCTTTCTGACCGATATCCCCCTGTTCTCCCTGAAAGACACATAAAAGAAAGATTTGAGAGGAGGRGCAAAGGGAGACAGAGAAACAATCACACAGACACAAAGACAGCCGGACCTTCAGTTCTTTGGGTCCTTCAGCATACAGTTTGATGCCTTTCTTTCCAGGGATCCCTGGGGATCCACGATTCCCCTAAGAATCAAACACAGTTAATGTTTTGGACGGAGAAGAAGATGATGATGAKRATGAGTAACAAATCAAACACACATCCTTCATATTTGCCCACATTAGAGCTCACAGCACCATCTCTTAGCTAGCTCACCTTCTGTCCTTGTGGACCAGGGCTGGTTGGACTGGGACCTTCTTGACCCTAAAACAATAAAAAGATGATAACAGATTAAAATCACACCATCAAGAAAAACACGAGCTCTTTAAACCATTGGGACAAGTTTATCATCATCCATCCATTAGATTTTACCAACTTCTTCCTTTCAGGGTTGCTGGTGCCCAAATCCAGCAGTAACTGTGTGAGGGGTGTAGGACACCCTGGACAGGTCACAAGTCCATCACAGGGACACATACACAGAGACAAACAACCTCTCACTCACACCGAGGAACAATGAGCAATTAGCCTAAATATCAAGTTTGTAGTCTAGTGTCTACAACCGACCCTTTAATAGTCTCAGACAGAGGACTTTCTCTGAGACAATTATGGGGTTGATTGTAGACACGAGGACTTGTGTGTACAATCGAACCTATAATGGTCTCAGAAGACTTGTGTCTACAACCAATCCTTCAATAGTCTCAGACAGAGGACTTGTGTCTACATTCGACCCTATAATGGTCTCAGACGGAGGACTTGTGCCTACAATCAACCCTATAATCGTCTCAGCCTTATTTCTACAATCGACCCTATAATGATCTCAGAGGACTTGTGTCTACAATTGACCCTAAAATAGTCTCAGAGAACTTGTGGCTACAATCAACCCTATAATGATCTCAGAGGACTTGTGTCCACAATCGACCCTATAATGATCTCAGAGGACTTGAGTCTACAGTCGAACCTATAATGGTCTCAGAGGACTTGTGTGCACAATTGACCCTGCAATGTCCTCAGACAGAGGACTTGTTTCCACAATCTACCCTATAATGGTCTCAGCAGACTTGTCTACAGTCAACCCTATAATGGTCACAGCGGACTTGTGTCCACAATCGACCCTGTAATGGTGTCAAACAGAGGACTTGTGTTCACAATCAGCCCTATAATTGTCAGAGGACTTGTGTCTACAATAGACCCAGTCTCAGAGGACATTTATCCACATTTGACCCTATAATGGTCTTAGACAGAGGACCTGGGGTGACAGTGTTATCAAAATTTTAAAAATCCAACTGTTCTTTGTGGGTCTGTGATCACAATGACCTTTTCTCCTTGGATCCCTTGAATTCCTGGTCTTCCCTGGCAAGAAAAAGCAGAAATTAGCTGAATTAATCTCTGAAAACAAATAAATGTTTGAATGCTACAAATATAACAGGCACTGTACAGAAAGTCCAGGAGGTCCAGGTGGTCCTGGTTGACCCATTTCTCCAGGATCTCCTCTCAGACCCTGAAACAGAGAGCACACCAATCAAAGGAAACCACCGCATCAAACAACTTTCTACACTTGAAGTCATCCTTTTATGTCCATTCTATGAGCCTCTTTGTATTAAAATAATTTAAACTCAATTTTTATTTTTTTGTGTCAGAAGTCACGTCTACATCTACATCTGGGACTGTTACTCAGGAAATRTTCTGACAGTGATGCTAAAATGTTTTCCAACATGTTTTCAGGTAACAGAAGAAAATGTTCCATCTTTTTTGGAAAATAAAATGTGTCACCGTTTCTCCATATGGTCCTTGAGGTCCTGTTGCTCCTTTAATTTGCTGCTGCTCTGGGTAGAACAACGAGTCTCCCTGAAATCCACCAAAGATTCAGAAAACTTCAGTAGAAAAACACCAGCAGGTGGGGGTCAGTCATTATACAGAAGTTCAGTGATCCTCACCTTCATCCCCCGCGGSCCCATGTTGCCCTGAAACACACCAACACTTAGATTCAGTGTCACAAACAACCAGGTTCATTTGAGCCTAAATGGATCCAACAGAGCGACTTACTCGTTGGCCAATTGGTCCTGAAAGCCCAGGGAAGCCTGGATAACCAGCATCACCCTAGAAGACAAGTCATTATGCCTCAGTGACTTTGGACGAGGTCAAAGGGTTTTAAGTTTTGGAAAATGAAACTTTGACAGATCTGAGCTAAAGACACAAACCTGTTATAAAACCTGAATCAGAGTGAATGAGTCACTTTACCAGGAAGCTTTGTTGACCTCTATGCAGATGACACCCAAGTATATCGCCACGTCAGACTGGCTTTAATGGTGTTTGTTGGTGAAAACTTACAACAATCCAGGACTTCCTGTCTAACTAACCATCATAGATCTCACAACATGCAGTAAACTAGTGATGGGTCCTTCTGTGTCGAGGCTTCGAAACATGTGCCGAGTAATAGAGGAGGATTTTTGTGGAGCACATATTGAGGCTTGTGTTGATGAGGCTCGCAATGACGTTTGAAGCCTTGCTGGAGGGTCGTACCAAGTGACTGATTCAGGGACTGGTTCGCCTGTATGCACGAGATTCAAAAGAGCAGCAAAACTCTGCTGAATCTCCCATAACATTATGTTCTCATGAAATTGTGTTGTGTGTATTTAAGTTATTCTGCTGATCGACTTTTTGTCCAATGGAACCAGCAAGCAAGAGGAAATTTCCCCCGGTCTCCTAATAATAACACTGTGAACACAACAGTCACAGTCAAAGTGAAGTGACTGTTGTGTTCAAAA